GGGAGGAGAAGACAGAGGGTCATGGGGGTGGATCTGAGCCTGGAGTCCTGTGAGTCCGGCGGGACTTGGTGTGGGCCTCACCGTGATCGCGGATGGAGCGGCCAGGGAAGTTTGCTAAGGAAGGCGAGGTGGGGTTCGCTAGAGGGGGGCTAGGATTTGGATACGATGGAAGCTGGGGTGAGGAAAAAGCTGGGCTTCCTGACTCTGTGACCTCCCTAGGTTAAAGGAGTAGGTTTTGAAGTCAGGCAGGCCGGAGTTTGACTCCCTCCCTGCTCTGCCGGTTGCTAGCTGTGTGGCCTCAGGCAAGTTGCTTCACCTCTCTGAGTCTGTTTCCTCATCTCTAAAAGGCGGGTAAAACCTATTAAAAGGATCCGCAGAGCCCTGGCCGCTGTGGCTCAGTGGCTAGAGCATCATCCCAATGCCCAAAGGGTCATGGGTTCAATCCCGGTCTGGGCATGTACAGGAGGCAACAGATGGATGTTCCTCTCTCATATTCGTCTCTCTCCCTCCCTCCCTCTCTCATCTCCCCGCCCTCTCCCTTCCTCCCTAGAACCAATGAAAAAAACATATCCGCCGGTGAGAATAAAAAAAAAAAACCCACAGAAAGGACTCTACATGGCACCGGTGGTTTCATTCCCCGCCCTGGTGCCGGTCCTCCAGGGCCCGCGAGGCTGACAGTGTGTGGTTCTCCCCGCAGGCCTGTCCATCCTCATGGGGCCCATCCTGTCCCACATCCCCCTGGCTGTGCTGTTCGGCATCTTCCTCTACATGGGGGTCACCTCCCTCAGCGGCATCCAGCTCTTTGACCGCATCTTGCTGCTCTTCAAGCCGCCCAAGTACCACCCGGATGTGCCCTACGTCAAGCGGGTACAGGGCCCTCGGCTGCCCAGCCCAGGGCGGGGTGGGAGTGCTTGGTGCCGGGCAGGGCAGGCGATCACCCCAGCCTCTGCCCGCAGGTAAAGACCTGGCGCATGCACCTGTTCACCGGCATCCAGATCCTCTGCCTGGCAGGGCTGTGGGCAGTGAAATCCTTCCCGACCACCTCGCTGGCCCTGCCCTTCGTCCTCATCCTCACGGTGCCCCTGCGGCGGCTCCTGCTGCCACTCATCTTCCGGAACCTGGAGCTCCAGTGTGTGAGTGGGGGCGGAGGGAGGCTGAGAGAGCAGGAGCTGGAGGGCAGGACCCCAGCGCTGGCTCAGGGAGGGCTGTGGGGGGCGGGTGGGTCTCAGAATGAAGGAAGGCAGAGGGGGTGCGGAGAAGGTCTGGATCTGGGGCCTGCATTCAAATCCTGGCACTGCCACACCCTGGTGGCCTCACCTTTCTGTGCCGTGGGTTTGCTCGGCTGTAAAAGGAGGAGTAAGGACAGGGAGGGGAGAGGGTTAAGAGGCACGCAGGACGTGACCCACGAGAGCGGTCCTGACCATTGAGCCGCTGGTCCTGCGATCTTCCAAATCCTTTTGGAAGAGTCTGCTCCCCCAGTAGAATTTTTCTAAGATGTGACACAGGCCATGGGGTTGGGGGTCGGGGGGCTGCCCTGGGGAGGGAGCCCCCTGCCCCCCCTCTAGAGGTAGAGTTCCTGCAAAGGGCATCAGATGCCCAGGGGCTCCCCACCCTTTGGGAATCTCTCATGTGGACCAATCCTGGGGGCAGGACCCAACCAAGGTTCGAAGAGCGCCAGGCCCTCTCCTAACTCCAGGGGTGCCTCTTAGCGCTGGGGGAGGGCTCATCGGGCCCCTGGGCCACTCACCCCCTCTCCTTCCTCTGCCGCCCTCCAGCTGGACGCTGACGACGCCAAGCCAAGCCTTGATGAGGAGGAAGGTCGGGATGAATATGACGAGGTGCCCATGCCTGTGTGAGAGGAGGGCCCAGGCCCCAGCCCTCTCCCCCACTCCACTGCCATGCCTGTGTGAGAGGAGGGCCCAGGCCCCAGGCCTCCCCCACTCCACTCTCCACGTTCTCCGGAAAAGCGGAAGTTCAAGGGCACCTCATGGACTCCCAGGTCCCTCCTGGGGCAGCAGCTGAGGCCCTGAGGCTGTGGGTGGGGGAAGGAAGGGGTGTCTAGAAAACCTTCTATGATGTCTAGACTGACTTTTTTTTTTTTTTTGGGCTGGAAATGGCCAGTGGAGGCCACATTAGGGCATCCACTGTGCAGCCCCTCCTGCTGCCCCGCTCCGCATGGGGATACCCTGCTGGGAGACTTAGATCTGCACAGACTGGGGCAATAGTGAGGGAGGGAGTGGGGAGGGTGGGTTCAAGTTTCAGCTTGCCATGTGACCTTGGGCGAGTCCTTAACCTCTCCAGCCTCTGCTTTTTCTCCTGTAAAATGGGTATATTGATCATAAAACCCACATTACAGGATGGTTACTGAGGACCAAAGATAAATGTGAACAAAGGGCTTGGTAAACTCTGAAAGGACTATTACGCTGTAGCGAGGGAGTGGGGAGGGTGGGTTCAAGTTTCAGCTTGCCATGTGACCTTGGGCGAGTCCTTAACCTCTCCAGCCTCTGCTTTTTCTCCTGTAAAATGGGTATATTGATCATAAAACCCACATTACAGGATGGTTACTGAGGACCAAAGATAAATGTGAACAAAGGGCTTGGTAAACTCTGAAAGGACTATTATGCTGTAGCCCAGCGGTCGCCAACCTTTCGGACCTCACGGACCCCCAGTGGTCCGCAGGCCACCGGTTGGCGACCACAGCTGTAGTCATTCTTCTTCAAGCCTGCCCAAGGTCACACAGCTCCCGAACCCTACGGCTGGGATTTGGACCAGGTCTCCGGATTCTGAGGCCAGAGCTCTGTGCTCTACTTCAGTCATCCGCCTTCCCGTGCTTAGTGATGCCCCTGTGATGCCTCCCTTCCCATTCTCTACTCCAACCCCAGACCTGGGGACCCTTTTCTCTGGAGCAGAGGGCGGTGTCCTGGTGAGGGCAAGGTGGGTACGGAGACCATCAGGACTGGGACTCAGGACTCCTAAGTGCTTGTTCCCTTCCCCCATGCTCTCATTCATTCACTCATTCATTCATTCATTCATTCCACAAGCATTTACTGAGCCCCTGGGCCCTGTGGACACAGAGCTGACAGAGCCAAGAGCCCTGCCGCGGGGTGGGGAGTGATGGGGAGCTCACAGTCTGTTCTAGATTTGGGGGGGTGGGGGGGGCGCATGGGGAGGGGGAGGGGAGTTTGTAATTTATTGGTTGTGTGTTTTCTCAGAGCTATCACTGTACTTGGCCTCACACATGCCCAGACCCCCATTAGAGACCCACTGCCCCCGACCCCACCTGAGCTGACTCTTGGGGAGAACCCAGGTGTGACCAGTTGGAGCAGGAGACAGTGGGTTCTGCAGAATATGGGTGAATCTATTTTTTTAAAAAACAAAAATATAAAAAGAGTCGAAAGAGCTAGAAATGGTAAGAGATGGTTGTGACAGAAAAGAAAGGGGGCTTTGGATTCCTGGTGGAAGGCCCTTGGGTACATCCCTGAAGGCTGACAGCTGCCTCCCACTTCATTTTTTTTTTCTATGGTTGTGACAGAAAAGAAAGGGGGCTTTGGACTCCTGGTGGAAGGCCCTTGGGTACATTCCTGAAGGCTGACAGCTGCCTCCCACTTCACTTTTTTTTCCTTTTTTTTTTTAAAAAAAATATGTCTTTATTGATTTCAGAGAGGAAGGAAGACAGAGAGAGAGAAACATCAACGATGAGAGTATCATTGATAAGCTGCCTCCTGCACGCCCCCTACTGGGGATCGAGCCCACAACCCAGGCATGTGCCCTTGGCCAGAATCAAACCTGGGACCCTTCAGTCCGCAGGCTGATGCTCTATCCACTGAGCCAAACCGGCCGGAGCCCATTATTGATTTCAGAGAGGAAGGAAGACAGAGAGAGAGAAACATCAACGATGAGAGTATCATTGATAAGTTGACTCCTGCACGCCCCCTACTGGGGATCGAGCCCACAACCCAGGCATGTGCCCTTGGCCAGAATCAAACCTGGGACCCTTCAGTCCACAGGCTGATGCTCTATCCACTGAGCCAAACCAGCCGGAGCCCACCCCTTCACTTTCTGTAAAACGGGAAGGACAATGGTATCAGTCTCTAGGCTTGTTATAAGGACTGAGGGAGACAGTGTGTGTACAGGCCTCCCAGGAAGAGCTCAATAAATGTTCGCTGCTGGCTTTGTTCTGGACGAGATGTCCCTGCCCCCCTTCCCTCTGCACCTCGAACACTGGAAAGAAAGCCCCCCGTTCCGCTCATGCCCTTCCCCTCGATGCCTGGGAACAGGTTTTGCCAATAAATGTCTCTGTGGTGGAGTGACTGCCTTGCTGGAATGCCCCTCCCAGAGCCAGGAATCCCAGGGGTCTCGGCTGGGCCGGGCGGACATGGTGTGTGTGGTGTGGAGCTGGTGCAGGGCTGCAGCCCGGGTGCAAGGAGAGCCAGGCTGGGGCAGGGCAAGGCTGGTGGCCCCCCAAGCTTTAGGGGCTGAGAGGGCCAGCACAGGGTGAGGGGCAGAGAGCCAGGGAAGCAAGTTTACACTCAGGACATCCTTCCTCTCCAGAAGAAGCGAGAGCCATGGGGGTGGGGAGGGGGCTGTAAAGGGGCCTGGCCTTGCCTCTAGGACCGTGGACCCCACATCCCTTTGAAACAGCCAGTCCCTTCGCCTGGCCCCTTCAAGCTGGGCCACGTGTCTGAGGGACCAGCAGAGAGGAAATGCAGTTAGCTGTCAGTCACAGGGGAACAGCATCTCTTGGCCAGCTTCCCAGTAACCCCCACTCTGATCCCCTTGGAGACACTGTCTCCCCAATCCCGCCCCCCTGCCCCCGGCCGCCTTCAGCCATTCTAGGGAGCTGCTGGGTCAGGGTGTCACCCAAGATGGAGAGGAAGATGCCAGGACCTACTCCCCCTCCACCCACCCCAGCCTTCCAGCCAGAGGTCAGTGCGGGTTGGTCGGCCTGGCTTCCTTCCCTCGATCTATATTTACTTGCTGCCTATCCCCAGCTGACCCCTCCCAGGCTAGCCAGCGCAGCAGCCAAAGGACTAGAGAGCTTCAGGAGCCCCAGGCACCCCCAGCCACCCGCCTCCCCCGCACAGCAGCTCATGTCCCACTGCACTGGCCCTGCCCTGAGCCTGCCAGAACCCCATTCCCCACCTTGAGGCAGGAAGGCAGTAGAAAAATGTGAAGACCACAGAAATCAATCAGGATCTGACTTCCTGCCTGGCCTGAGGCCTCACTCCTCCTGCATTTCCTGCCCCTGCACAGATGCCCTGTGCGCCCCCACTCCCTGCATTTCCTTTCATGGAAATTCCCTCAGAGTGAATTAATGGCCACAGTGAGACCCACCCTTTTAGGTGAACAGAAAGTAACCCCACTCCTGGTAAGGAAAAGGTTCAACAGACGCAAAGAGCTCTAAAGCTGAAGATATTCTTTGCAGGACCATCTATGAAAGCAAAACACTAGAAAGAAGCCCAGTTCTCAGAAACAGGAGAGCAGTTAGTGAATTACATCAATATAAAGGCAGCACAGGCAGGCCTTTCAAATAATAGTGATGTTGGATCAGCTTGGTGCAGTCACATAAGCCTGGGTGTTTGAGGCCACGGGGGTTGGAGCTCCAGCTTGGTGACTTAGGAGTTGGACAAAGAACCCACTCTCCGAGCTCAGTGTTCCACATCTGTAAACTGGAGATACTGAGATCACAGACCTGGAGGTCCCAGCCCAGGACTGGCATTTGGTGAACCAAACTTCATTCCTGTTAAGCAAGGCACAAAGTGATTTAACTGTCCTGGCTGGTGACAGCTCTGCAGGGAAGTCTGGTACACACAAGAATGAAGAATGAAGGTTAGGTGGTCAGACAGAAAAAATTAAAGTGCCATGGGGGGAGAATTACAGGGGATATCATTTCCTCCTCTTCTTTTGGACGTTAGGTGCAGAGGGTTACGTTAATCCTCCTCCTCAGTTCCCGGCAAATTATCATTGAACATTAATGTTTCCTTCCTTCCTTCCTTCTGTTCTCATTTCCTACTCCTATTTTCTTTCCCCTCCATAGACAATGACTCAAACATGTTTAATGTGTATCTTTTTGTGTGAGCATAGTCTTGAAATATGTATCCTTGGTATTTTTAAATTTGTTATAAAAGTTTTAATACATATACCAAATATACATAATAGTACAACAAATTCCCATATACTTGTCTCTCCTAAACTCAGTAATTATCAAGACTTTGCCTTGAGGTTTTGCTTAAACCTTTGATTCATCTTTCTCATTGTTCCCTTCACTAAACTAGTTTAAAGTCCATCCCGGACATCATGCCATTTCACCCCTATATTTTTTAGCTATGCATCCCCTCCAACACCGAACACTTTCTTACCTAACTGCACACCCAACAAAATTAGCTATAATACCTGATATCCAATAGGTAATCAAATTTCTCAAAATGTCTCTTTGCACTTGGTTTGTGTGGGGTGTATGTGAATTTCTATATATTATCAGCGTTGTGTTGTAGGCCTTGGTCCTCTTTCCACCCAGCACGATGGTTTTAACCAGCCAGGTTGCTCTGTGAACATGGAGTTGCTTTAACTGCTGCCTGGTGCTCCGTGGGGCATCCCCCACTGTTAGCCTCTCCACTCCTCCAGGGAGGGACACCCCACTGCCCCCAACTCCCCTCCTGCAAACAATGCTCAGCCTTATCCTCTGATGGATCTTATGGAGAATTTCTTTGGGTTATATATGTAGGAGCCAAGAGCAGGTTTACTAGGTCATAGGGTATAAATATATTTGTCTCAATTTGACTAGCTACAGCCATATTTTTCTCTAAAATGTCTACATCAGCCCTGACTGGTTTGGCTCAGTGGATAGAGCGTCGGCCTGTGGACTGAAGGGTCTCTGGTTCGATTCCAGTCAAGGGCATGTGCCTTGGTTGCGGGCACATCCCCAGTAGGGGGTGTGCAGGAGGCAGCTGATCGATGCTTCTCTCTCATCGATGTTTCTCTCTATCCCTCTCCCTTCCTCTGTAAAAAAAAAATCAATAAAATATATTTAAAAAAATAAAATGTCTGCATCAGTTCATGCTTCCACAGGCAGTGCAGGAGGGTCCCGTAGTCCCATGTGATTGACATTATGCAGCTGTCTGGTTGTTGCGAATCTGACTGGAGCATCATCTCATTATTGTTATACTTGCACTTCTCTGATCACCGAAGAGGTTGAGCATCTCTGCATTGCTGATTATTCTTTAAGATGTCCTCTACTATAAATTGTCTTTTCATATCATTTGGTCATATTTCAATGGAATATTTTGGATGTTGATTTGCAAGGACTTCTGGAAGATTCTGCCCTTTGTTGATTTTAGACCTTGTGAAAATATTCTCGCATCTTGTCATCTTGCTCTTGAAACTTTGTCCACCTCACTGAACAGAA